GCCAGAATCCAATTAAAGAATTGCAGTAGAGTTGCCCATGAAGAGACTTTATTTTGGCTATTTTTGTGACAGCCCTTCTTGAAATTAGCTCCCTTTTCCTTCTCTCATCTTCACCAGTGTCCCAAGTTGTATATGCAGTGGATATGGTTATATTTGTCATTTCACTGTGTGGTATTCAGAGGTCCCAATTTTCCCTGCTGCTTTTTTTAAGTGATTCATACAAAGGGAGGGCCATCTTCATGGCAGCCCTGTCCATCCTTACTAAATTTGCTTCCAACTTTCTCAGTTCTGCTTTCTCAGAGCTATCAAGTAAACCACACAGTGGGACTGCAGTATCTTTTCCCGATGAGCTCATGTGGTAAGAGGAGTTGGTTTCCTTAGGTATGCTTGAGGCCTCAGAACATGCACAGGAAGGGGGTAGTTAGAGATGCTTTCTCAAAGTCAGTTTAAAGACTTTTGTTGGCACAATAAAAAGCACAATAGGCTGCAGCATGGGGCAGGATTGAGTGGCTGGAAGAGGAGGATGAGTTCTGACTGCCAGAGGAACTCCTTATGTGCCACCTTCCTTTTTGCCCATTTGTTTTTCCTTTGTGCCCCAGTAACAGATGTAAAGCCACCAATGTGGTTCTTGTTCAGAAAGCATAAAATTATAAAAGTTAATGATCCAATGACTCCAAGCTATCTGGCTTATTGAGAAGAAAAACAATATGATGCAGATATTACTGCATTGTACTCCTGATAGAACTTTCAGTCCATTCCCCTTAGCCCATATTTAGGCTTGGGAAAAGCTCAGACATCAGAGGTTAAAGAGAGCATAGGTGTAAGGTACTACAGGGTACACTTTTTGTGTTTATTTACTCTCAAGTTAAAATGCTTTCATTAGTTACTCTTCTGATTTTTGCCAGTGTGTCATTACCCCCATGGTGCCAGCTTCATGAGTTCAGCATGAGTAAGTCTAGAGTAGCATGTGATAGGGGGCTTTGAAATGTTTTTTTGCCAAATACGTTCCTGCAATTCTTTCAGTTGGTCATCACACTCTCTCCAGGGTTAGAGGCTTTCAATGGCTTGTGGCCAGTTACAATTCCTTCTGTGCTGCAGAAGATTTGCATGGCTTCATGTGCTAAAAGCTGAGTGCAAAGTATTTTTTGGTGTTGAAACTCCTGATGTGTCTGGCATGTTAAATCTTCTGTTCCTGCATATTTGGAAGAAAACTGGCAATGTTGGTTAAAATACATTCATTTTTAGGATAATTGCAACTCTGGTGGGATCTGTGTACTAATTACAAGTTTCTCACAAGCAAATATTTGTTGTCCTTTCACTAAATAACAGATGAAGAACATGTGAAGTAGTGCTCCTTCAAACTTAAAATCAACCTTTGACAGAAAAAATGAAATACAGAGAAAAGATGAATAACTGCTGTTTTCTCATGGCTCATTAAGCATGACTCATAGCAGTGTATTCCATTTCCCAATGGCAAAGATAGATGCATCTTTCTTAATTGAAGCAAGTCTCCTTAATCCTTGAGAAGCTGAGCCCATTATTCACTGAGAGTAATACTGGTGCTTTTGCGCAGCAGCAAAAGGTATGCATTTCAAAAATTACAGCAAAAATTGCAATTTAGAGGATTGATTAGCTGTGCTGGGGAGTAGAGGACCCCCAGTGGTGAGAAGTCTGGAAATTGCTGGTTTACATCTGTAAAAGGGAAGTTTTAGCTTCCTGTAATAGACTAAGGAGAACTAGCAGATAATACCCTACTGATGGTCGCACTCTTCCTTACAAGGGAGTGTTAAGGCTCTCACGGTATTTCTTATGGAAGTTGTATTTTGACAATTGTCAATGGACAAAAATAGCACTCAGTGCTTCTTGCTCCACAATGTGCTTCCTGTTTTCGTACAAAGTGATTTTTCTAGTCTTTATCAAGCATCTTCTACTTTTTGTATTTTCTTTCAGCATGTGAAGCACAGCTGTAGTTGTTGTATACTGTGCATGTTGTGCCTTGGAAGAATGGTTATGACTGCTAGAATGAGCCTGCTTCACACTTTTGTCTTTTTGCACAGTAGTAGTACAAGGAAGAGAGGGTGCCTGAGTCAGAGCTGTCATTCCAACATGTTGCAGTTGCTTGTGTAAATCCCCACTTACTGAATTGCAAAATTACACCTTTATCCACATACACTGTTGTAAGATATTGTAATGACTGCTTTTGGTACATTTGAGGGTCATTTGTCATGCCTTTTGCATATCACTTGAAAGGGCAAATCTGGTAGCTGTTCACTAGTGGCTTCAGCAAATTCTGCAAGTAGCAATGAGGTCACGAATCATGCAAATTCTTTCATATGCTTTGAAAGAAAAGGCCACTTTAAGCAAAGCATAAATGTAACCATATGCTCATATCTTGGAGCCTTCACTGAAATTTGACAATAAAATTGCTGCGCATATGATTTGTGTTCTGAAGAAGAAACACTGTTGTTTTTAGAGCAGTAGTATAGCAGCAATTAACTTTCTGGTCTTTTCTAGTTAAATGTAAAAATGTTTATCAAGTGCAAAATTGGTAGAAGTAACATTTTGGTAATTCTTAAAGACAGTGCATGTCTTTGTTCTCTTTTAGAAGAAGGAGGCAGCAGTAAAACCAGAAGAAATCTTGTTACAGTTCTGTTCAATAGAAGGGTATGCAAAGTAGAACTGTTGCTGTTTTGTTAATCTTGGTACAACTCTTACATTAGCCTGGAAGTATCTATTCAGATTTGATGAACAACCATTTCATATTAAGAAAATCTTTAGAGCACTTCCTTTTTCCTTCAACAGAAAAGTAAAGTGTGGGCTTTCCCTCAGTGTTTTTGATAGTCAAAAGTGAATGGTTTGGCTTCTGGAAATAATGTAAAAAGCTTAATTAAATGTCATCTTCTAATATTTTGTATCTCTGCAAAGAGGATAGTGTGCAGAAGTCGTTTCGAGGGCCTAAAGGAATACGGGAATACGCCCTTAAACACAATCATCAGTGCTGTGTGGTGATTAGAGCAATCTGCTTTAATGTGATTCCTCAGAAAGATTACTGAGAAATCTGTGGGTTTGTGCACCAGCAGTGATGTTGGTTTTCACCTTCAGATTTCTTCTGCAAGCAGATTGTTCCTTTAGAGTACAATTAGTGCAGATAGAACAGAGCAAAAAGATTGGCTCATTGCTAAAATGCAACCAAGACTGAGTACATGAACATAGTAGGTAGAAATTGTGATATTTAAGTTAGTGGAGGTGTTTCCAAAGCAATAATGGCAAATGTGACCACTAAGGACAGTGCAGGAGGGAATTGTTTGCTCTGGAAACATGCTGATTTACTAGAGGGATTTATTGAATGAATTCCATGTGCATCAGAAAGGGACCATTGCACATTAAAGGAAAATGTAACTTTAAATTGGCTTTTAAATAGGAGAAGGAAGCAGCAGTTCTCTATTTGGGTGCAGCTAACCTAGTGCACTGGGAGCATATGATTAGCAGACAAAAAGAAAGGTAGATTTGAATAGAGAAAGAAAACCTTAAGTTGGAAAAAGTGGTGTCAGCAGGGCATGCCAGAGGGTTTGAGAGTGAGCAGGCTCTGCTCACTCACCCTTTGGAGTGCAGCAGCAGCACCCTGTGAGCTGTGCTGTGGGGAGGCTTCCTCTCTGTCAGTAAATGTGAGTCAGAAGAGCCCAGGGAGCAGCCAAGAGCAGCACTGGTGGCCCTGTTAGTCACAGTTCTGTTGAAATGCACTCGTGTTGTTCAGTGTGATGGTGTAAACACTTTAATTGCTTGAGGGGTATTTCCAATGGCACAATGCCTGTGTTGAGGTTGTTCCCCAGTCTTTCAAGAACATAGGAAAAGTATCTCAGAACAGGGAAGTTGTCACTAGGTTGCATTTTTTTAAAGCCCTGAATATTGGCAGGTTACTGCTGCTGATGCAGCCACTCAGAATAAAGCCTGTGTAGTGATGCCTTCCACCAGCTGAGAATGTGGCCTGAGACTGTTTGGGTCATGTGGTACTTACATGCCATGGTGCCAGCTATGCACTCTGTACACCTTAAATAAAAGTGCTGGTACTAAAATGTCCTAAAAACCAGCTAGCATGTGTTAGAGGTGTTCCCAGAATTGAAGTATGGCTTTAAAATTTTAATGAAATCAATGTGTTTAAGTATTTATGTACAGCATTTGTGTGTGCTGTACCTGTGTGCAGGTAGAAAAAGTAGGTAGCCTTGTCTTTTACTGTGACCGACCATACCTGATTCCCTCTTTACAATGTCATTATCTCAAACTGCTTAACAAAATAATTTATTTAAAGGACAGTTTACATTACTTGTGTTTTAATATAGGAGTGGGTGCAATCATATGTCACAGAGTTTTCTAAGTTTGTTAACTTTGCAGGTACACTGAAGAAGAAAGCAGTAAAACCCCAGATTTTACACAGTGTTAAAATGTGTGTCCATCTATAGATTAAATTGTGCTCAAGTGTTAAGTCTTTTGATTCTAGAAGGAGCTAAAGTAAATATTTCCCTCATAAAATCATCTGGAAATTATGTGATGTACTCTATCTCATATTGTAGCCTTTCTCCCTAAAACTGACAGAAGGGGTTAACAGAAAGGGAATTTCACAGGAAAGAAAATGAATTTTGGAGGAAGAGACACAACATTGTTACTTAACTATTGTGGGAGTCTCTTGCTAATTGCTAAAGCCATGTTTGAAGCTGGCAGTGTGAGTGTGCCGGGCTGGCTGGGGAGGCACAGCAGGCTCTGAGCCCCTCCAGGACAGGGCAGTGCTGGGCTGCCAGACCCACAGCCCTGCTCGGAGAGCCCGGCTGCTTCGGGGGGTAAACTGAATTGGGGGGGAAAGAATGATTTTGATGTTAAAAATTACTGTTTTGCTTACTGCTTGAATTGCAGTTTCTGCCTTAAATTGTTTATGGTATTAGTTGTGTTAATATACTGATAACTGATGGTTTCATGGGTGCTTATCCTCAGTGTGTTTGTTAATGCAGGCAAGAAGACAGCAAGACCCTAGTCCTGGCTCTAACCTGGGCAGTGGTGATGATCTCAAACTACGTTAATCGGCGGCAGCAGGCGTCCCACGGGTCTGCACACATGCATTGCTTCTACTTGGCAAAGGATTGAATAAAAGACCAGAAACTGTGATAACTGGGTATATTATGGTCTGTTTCCTGACCTGCGGCAGTCAAAGTCACCACGAACTGCCATGGTTTGCACTATGTTTATGTTACAATACCTGCATTTCCCATTTGAAGCATGTAGCCAGTGGCAATTCAAAATTTTGTTTTTCTATGCAAACTTATTTTTGTTGGCACTATTTTAGTGAAATGGAAACTTATGCAGCTATAAAACCATTTTTCTCAACTGTAATAAAAATTGTCACTTAAAAATAGGTCAAGATATTACAGATTTAGAACAACTTTTGGTTTTGTTTTTGGGTGTTTTTTTTTGTAAACTGCTGGAAGCCAATGCATTCCAAGCTTAATTTTTTAATATGGGCTTTTGGAAATTTGATTGTCCTTATTGTGTTCCTGCTTTATTTTAGATAATACATTCTTATCTTTCAGTTTTCTTTTTTGTAAATTTGCAAGACCTTCTTAAAACTGCTGACATTATTTTGCATTATTTCCAAGCTAAACCCAGTGAATCAGAGCTGTTGGAATCAGTTTTCAAAGTTTGTGGGTTTGTAAATGTTACAGTTGCAGTATTCACTTAACTGCTAACAATTCATTGGTTCCACTTTTAAAATTATAAAAATCTTAAAATGCGTATTTTCATGCATTAATGCATTCTGCCCCATTATCTTTCTTAGATTTTATTCTGTTCCAAGTGAGTTTGGGTGGCTGTTATACCCTGTATATAGTGCTTTACTGAAACTCAGAGGAAGTCGCAGGCTGGCTTCTGTTTTATTCAGGGATTTTTTTAACTAGCTCTTCAAAGGGATACTGCAACTCCACAATCAGATTCAACAGCGTTTAAACTGGGAACAAAAGTGATCAGCTGCCAAGGTGATATATATTGAATCATGTTTAAGATAACTGCTTTAAGTATATTTTATATCTTAGGCTTTTTGTAAAGTTGTGCTGAATTGTGAAAAGCTGAGATGAGCTTGTGTGCAGGAGTCTTGTACTGCACATAGGCCCCTTCTATTAAATCTTATGCAAATTAAGACTGTTGCAGTATATATTGCATTTTCTAACAGGGTAACATTTGGGATGAATTAATGTATGAATTAATCTTGTTTTATTTGGGGTGATGGTGAATGGATTTGCTCCAAAGGTTTCATTGCATCCAGTATTTGAAGAAAATTGATTAGAAATGTGATGTCATTTGGCTTTGTTAAAATGTGGTGCTTCCTGTACAGCCTGATTAATTAAAAATGTCACTTAAATACCTTTTTAAAATAAGGGATATGAATCCAGTATTTTAAGAATTATTTTAAAGGTAGAAACTCTATATGGTTAGAACAGTTAAATCTTCATTAAATTCTATAATTAAGACAATTATACATTCCTCATTAATGGCAAAACGATTGATGCAAAAGAGGTCTTGCAAAAATGTAAGCAGATTTAAATGTGAAGGAGAATCTTTGTATGTTAATAATATGAATATGTAACATTCACTTAAAAATGTCATTAACTGTAAACTGTGAGAATGTCATCAAATAGAAATATTTTGATACTTCAATTTAAATGTGATTCACCTGGAAGATAATCTTTTTCACTCTGTGGCCACATATTCTTCTTGCTCTTCTTCCCCCAAAGAAATAATTTTTCTAAGGTGTTTCTGCAAAGAGTTATTTAAGGGACACACTCCTGCATCCGCACGCATCCCTAGCCTTGGATCTTCTCTGCCATCTGTGTATTTTTGATGGAATAGTCTGAAGATTTATTTTAAAAGGTTTTCCTAACGTTTCAGACAGTGGTTTTAAACCATAAGTACACAGGAAATGACGCTATCTGATATTAACATTGCTATCTCTGTGTAAATACTGAACTTTCCCTATCATCATTTAGCATTCTGCTGCTTTCCATATCTTAATGCTGGCATTAAGATCACAGCCCTTACCCTCTGCTGGTTAGTGCAGACTTTTTAAAGTGCATTTTAAGTTATTGATGCAATTTGATATTTTTCATAATTTCTATTTAAACTGAAGTTGCATCATCTTTCTTGAATTCATCTCCTGTAAGAGTTGCCTTAAGCTACAGGATTGCTTTTGCTACTTTTTGTGTTGTATGTTTAACTTTCATAATAAACTTCTGTGTAGTGAAAACAAGGTGCTGTAAGTTTATTTGACTCCCTGGTAGTCCCTGCTGCTGTGTTTGTTTGGGTGCAAGGCTGCCTTGCTGGCCATGGGTAAAGCAGTGGTGACATCCAGTGGTCACTTATCTAACTGACCCTTCTCCTCTGCTGTGCTCAGCTGCTGTCTGGGAGCAGCCTTTAATAAAAGGGTCTGCACTGGGGAAAATGTGGATTTTGCTGCCCTAGAAGTCTTCTTTCTTAAAACTGACATGCCCTGCTTACTCTGAAGGTGTGGATCTGCTCCAGGGGCCCCAAGCAAGGGCTGTGTGTGCTTACAGAGTGCTGTTTGTGGGCACATTATGAGAGCAGCCACCAAACTTTGTTAATTGTGCTGCTTTGGGTGAGGGGGGAACCAGGGGAATTACATGTGTAATGTCAGGAAGTGGGGAAATGCAGTGAGGTTCTGTGGGGAAAACATGAATGTTGTATACTACACCTGAAAACTTTCTGAAGCTGCTAAAATTGTAGGTGGTGTAACTTCAAGTAGCTAACACTGACTGAATGACAGTGGTTAAGTACTGAAATCAAGTAGAGGATTGCTTGTTTCATAACAATGCTTTAGGAACACTTACTAAAGGATAACAAATAACCTTATTTTAGACTTTTACAATCTGGCTGTGAACAGACAGAGAGCACCAAATAACAACAGCACTGCCATAACCTGTGGCTTTCCTGGAGATGTTCTTCAGTGTGAGAGGGAAGGTGACTTCTAAAAGAGACAAACGACAAACCACGTTGCTCTGCTTCTCTTGCTGAGGAAAAATGGTGTCAGTGCTGCAGGCTCTGCTGTCCAGGCAGTGTTTTAAAGGCATCTGTAAACAGCTGTTCATAAAGCTGTTGGCTAATTTGTCCATTTACCTGCAAGCTCATGGAAGGATTCACTTTTCTGCCCAAGGTACATCACAAGTGGATGAGTACAGTACTTGTACAGCTTTTTCTTGGCTGAAGGTGAAGGACAGAGACACTTGGCTTTTCCTAGATAGAATTTGCCCTCTCAAGTGTGTGACTAGCAAAGGGAATCTGAAAACCTCCCTGCATGAGGCACATACAGCAGAAAAGAATTTTAAAAGCATTGCAATCCAGTGCCTTAACTAGCATGGGTTAGGAATGGCTGTCCTTGATGGAGTGAAAGACCACTGGAAATGCTGGAGCTTATTGGAATTGAGAAGGATGTCAGGACCTGGAGCCAAATCACAGCAGGTGAGGGGTATGGTCATTTCCAGCTGGGCTTTTTAACCGCCTGCTCTTACATGACCCAAGACAACCCAAGAGAGCACAGAGTATTAACTGTTTCTCAGAATTCTGAAGTAGTTTGGATTGAAAGGGAGCTTAAAGCTCATCTAGTTCCAACCTCCCACTAGACCAGGTTGCTCAGAGCCCCATCCAACTTGGCCTTGAATGCTTCCAGGGATGGGGCATCCCAGCAACCTGTGCCAGGCCTCACCACCCTCACAGTGAAGAATTTCTTCCTGATACCTAACTTAAACCTCTCTGTCAGTTTGAAGTCATTTCCCCTTGTCCTTTCAGTCCATGCCCTTGTCAAAAGTCTCTCTCCAGCCTCTTTGCTTTCTGGGAGGGCTCTAAGGTCTCCCTGGAGCCTTCTCCAGGCTGAACTGTCTACATAGGAGAGGTGCTCCAGCCCTCAGAGCTTCTTTGTGGTCTCCTCTGGGCTTGCTCCTGCAGGCCCATGTCCTTTTGTTAAGGAACCCAGAGCTGGATGCAGCATTGCAGGTGGGGTTCTCAGTGTTTAGTCCCTTTACTGAAGTCCCTAAAACATGGATAAGCAGGTTTCCTAGTTTCTCTTGAGGGAAACAGCAAATGTCCTGGGCTCATGGTCCCCTTTCTGAAAGCAGAAAACTGAGAAAATGAACTGTGAGTGAAAACAGCAGCTTTTCTGTTCCTGCAGATCTATGATGGTTTGTCTAATAACAAGCCTAGTTCAGGTAAGGGCTGGGAAGTTAGATGAAGATGTGGTTTCAGAGAACTCCAGAACTGCATGACCTGGGATGATCTTGGCAGGACTTCTATATATTTTTTTTTGTTTGCTGTTAGTTCAGGACTCCACTCTGTCATAGATATATTAAAGAATCCATCCTGTCTGCACAGAAATAGGACCAATTTCTGTGAAGTTGCATTATTTTGTGACTACATTTCCAATGCAAATAAGAGAATGACAGAAATGGCTTCAAGGATGGGAATTACAGTGAGAAGTTAGAGCAGAGTGAACATTTGCATGGGCAACGTTTCTCATAGCTCATTTGCCTGACATCCTGTCTTCACACTGCCACCAAATGTAAATCCCAGGCCATGCATATTCATCAGCTGCTGCACGCCCAGAGCTGCTCGGGTTTAAGTAACTATTAAATAGGTTTCTCAATTACAGGTTGAGATAAGTGAATTTTCAGAATTGCCTTGGGCTCATTTCTTAAAGCTCAGGAGTGAGAGGAGGGGAAAGTAGCACAGAAGAGCTGAGTGCTGCCTCTCTGGTGCTGTCACCTGGCACAGCGGATGGCTGGGGAAAGGAGTGGGAAACCAGAACGCTTCTTGCTCAGTTTTGTGCCTCTTACTGGGCCTAGTCCACTGTTTACCACAGCCGGTGAGACTTCTGCCAAGTCTCTGTTGCTTCCCACAACTCTTCTGATATGTAACTGTGTTCTACCCTGTTGACTTGATGATGGGGTCTTGGAGGCCATGGCTTTTCCTGGGGCTCCACTTTCTCTTGTTCTACAGGCTCTACTTTTCATAGGAACTGGTGGCTTTGACACCTTTCTTTCTCTCTTTGCAATCTTCTTTCTTCCCTGGAGTAATGGGCTTCACTTGAAAAGAGAAAGACCTTATAGAGAAGGAGCAAAGTTTACACCTGGAAGCTCCTGTTTTTTCCAGCTCTTATCCACTGACTTGCTGGGAGACCCTTTCCCACCTGCATGCCCAACCCTTTCAGCTTTTGTTATTTGTACCTTACAAAAACCCAGCAAAGTTTAGGCATGGAGAAACAAGCAGTGTAAGGGAACCAAAGCTTTTTGTCTGCGGGATGCACTTGTCCCTGGTCACTGCCCATGTGACTCTTACTGAAGCAGATGACTGGGGTGATTCTGCTGCTGTTGCAGGATTTTGGAAGAATTTCAGGGCTTTGGCCCCTCACAGCAGAGGTGCCCAGGGGGAGTGGCCTGCTAGTTAAACCGTGGGAGCTCTAAGCTTGGAGGAGAGCAGAGAGGTTGGTGGAGGCAATGTGGGTTT